CTGTATCTGTATCTGTATCTGTATCTGTATCTGTATCTGTATCTGTATCTGTATCTGTATCTGTATCTGTATAGATGACTTATGCTGTTGGCTTCCATGATTCTGTGGACATCTGGATATGGACTGATTCATGCTACTTGAACTGTGGAGTCTCTAATACATATGTGGCCTGTGGTGCTATTTAATTCCCCCAAATGGTCTCCTCTCTAGAATCTATATATGTAACATACTGGTTCTATCTCTCTTAGAAAGTCCTGATTAATACAGTACCTATATAGGTCTTATCAACTTTTTCACAACTTGGTAAGTACAAGGAGCCTTATATAGATCCCAAACTGCAACTACACATCGTGACTGATGATGCAAGTAGTACACAATTAAATATTGTCACTCTTAGTCAAAATATCCCTGTTAACACTTTTTAGTGGACACATAATAATTATACATATATATGCGGTACTATGATATAATTCAATACATACACCTATATCTATGCATATACAGTGCATAAAGATCAAATAGTATTTCCATCTCCTTATATATTTATTGTTTCATTGTGCTAGAAACTCAGAAACTCTTCTATTTCAGCATAGTTATGTGTAACAGTCACGCTATTGTGCTATGAAGACTGGATCTCACTTCTATCTAACTGCATTTTGGCACCCATTATATTCTGCCAATTCCTAAATAAATAACCTATGTGGCTATCACATAGGTAGTTACAATCCTCTTTGAATTTCCAATTACAAAAATCAGAAAGTTTATGAAAGGTTTTTGAGGTAAACCAGATAATACGGCAGAGAACACTAGATATTTCCTCATATGCATTCTCCTATTCCTTTTTAAACTGTAATGGGAATGTGCTGGTAAAGTGTTTAATTTACCTTTATAAGATAGCAATGTCATATGTCTTTTATCCTAGCACTTGGGAGTTTAAGCAGATGAACTACAAATTCAAGGCTATTTTGGAGTACATAGAAAGACTATGGCTTAAAAAAAGAAAAAGAAAAAAAAAAAGAAAAACGATACAAGAACTACTTTTCTGGCTCTCTTATCAGTGAATATGATTGTGAGATTGAATTTTAGAAATTGAATGTAATGAAATTTACGTCTAACTCCCAGATCATAACCTGAAAGGAAAGTGTTATAAACTCTACTTCTGTCTTTCCTTCTTTTCAACAGCTAGGATGCAGATGATGAATGACCATTGGGGTGAAAGCAGGATATTAGATGACTAAGAAAGCAAGAACAAGGAAGCCTGATTATATCAAGTCACATTAGTTGGATTGTTTTACAACCAAGAAATAAACATCTCTTATATTAGAGCCATGGTATATGTAGCATCTCAGCACCTGAGCCTACATCATACCGAATTGTAGCTAACAAGTGACTAAACTTGGACTTTAATAGGCTCAGACTGTATGAGCCCCGTAATTTAAATAAAGTTCTTATTAAATAATGCTTTCCTAAAGGACACTATCTATTCCAAAGTTCTTACAAATATAAGACACCTGTGGCAAGCACATAATACTTGTTAAGAAATATTTCTTGTCTCAACAATATTACCAGGTTCATTTTTTTGTCTCCCTTTGTTTTACCCTTTCATTTAAACCAATTATAGTATATGCTACCTTATAAGCTATGTACTATGTCAAATACTCAACCATAAAATTTTTTCAAGTTGCAATTAAAATAAAATATTCTGATTCATTTGTGGTCTTGCAAGGGTTCCTGACTTGCTATACTGAAATAAATATGGGACTTGACATTTGAAGAAACAGCAAACAAGGGTTCTCAGAGCTTTTGTTGCCCATTTTTACTGAGACATGTCATAATTTTTTTCTACGTTTCTTCTAAAGTGGGTTGTGCAATTTAAATTTCAGAGAAAACAGACAATGGTGTCAGAAACACCAAAAAAATGAACAAACAAAAAATAAAACAAAACAACAAAAACCTGAACAAAAGGCCTCCCTTAGGTGTACTAATATTAGTATTAGATCAGATCCCTTTGTCCTTTAGTCGTATTTCTCTAGAATTAAATGCCTCATCACACTTAGTGCAAGTTTACCTGGTTTATTTGAGGGGGTGTGTTCATTCTAGATCAGTGGTTCTAAACCTATGGATTTGACCACTTTGAGGGTCAAACTACCTTTTTACAGGAGTCGCCTAAGACCATCAAAAACAAACAAACAAACAAACAATTTTTACATTATGATTCATACAGGAGCAAAATTATAGTTATGAAGAAGCAACGAAAATAATTTTATGGTTGGAGAATCACCAAAATATGAGGAACTATATTAAAGGGTTACAGCATTAGCAAGGCTGAGAACCACTTTTCTAGAGTGTTACCAAGTAATATAAAACATATAAATACAAATACTTTTCTCTTGTTGATCTGTCATTTGATTAGGAGTATCAGTCATGGATTTGGGATTATGTGAGGAACTATACCTCTTCTACACTATAGTTTCATTGTATATGTATCACCTTCAACCTTATCATTTTCCTCTGTTTAAATATATCACCACACTTCATGGTTAATATCTTAGAAGCATCCAGTGGCTTTTTCTCCTTTAACAGTCCCATAATTTGCTTAATAATAAAACAGTACATGTGCAAGCAAGTTGATTAATAGATGTAATGCTAAGTATTCGATTTAATGTTAAACATCACTGTGGCCAAGTTTAGTGGTGTAGGCCTCTAATCCCAGCTACTTGGGAGGCTGAGGCAGAAAAAAATCATAATTGCAAAGCCTGTCTGGGCTACAGGGTGAGTTCCTGGATGCTCTGGACACTTTAATAAGACTCTGTCTCAAAATAAAAAGTAAAAGGGGGCAATGAAGATAGGTCAGTGGTAGAGTATTTGCTTAGCATGTGCAAGGCCCAAGTTTTAATTTATAGATCTTCAAAAACTTGTCATTGTGTCACAGTGGGATTTTTTTTTCAATGTCCATTTATACAAAATAATAAGACACAACTTTGTGTCTGTGAACCCAAAAATCTGGAGGCTAAGTCAGGAGGATGAGAAACTCTTGGCAGATCTACATTACACAGTGAGTGCCACGACAGCCAAACTTTTTATAGCACATTTTGCTTTATGAACAACAAAAGAACAGAAAGAAGGGAGCAAAAAAATGAGAAATGGAGGTAGGAAGATAAAAAACTACAGTTAAAAGGCACACAGTTACTTCTTTGGAGGGGAGATATTAAATATAGGAAATTTTTACCTTGCCAAAGTGTTCAATCAGTATTTCTACCACAATATTCTGGAATTTGATGTTCATCATAGCAGCCACAGTGTCCTCTTGAGCTCTCATCAGGGTGGGCCCAAAGATCACCCCCATATTGGAAGGTGTCATAAGATTTTCTTTGCTGTGCTCACACACACTGCCAGAAGAAAAAGCAAATAATGAAACAGATTCGTTTTTCTCGTAACCAGGACTATGATAGGTGCTAAAGGAGATAAGAAACACCAAAAGGTAGGAAAGGGAGAACTAAAATATATATGGAAGAAAAAACACAATAGAAATAACTAGCAAGTAACACATAGTATATGAGTAGAAGCCAAAGTGAGAGAAGAGGAACTGAGCTAGCAACCCTAAAGGAGTTCAGAGACAAATGTAAAATATGTGGGAAGACATACCCATACCCTGCTTACTCCCTCTGAAATTCATCTTCGTTTTACTTTGATTATTCTTGTTACATATAAACATATGCATAAATTTATAAATACAACTTGCTGGGTCCATTTAGTGTTGCTTGTGTGCATGAGTTCAGGGCTGAGCACTTGGTACTATTCTCACCTCAAATGATAGTACTGGTGAGAAAAATGCGTTGGAATCGTCAGTTTAATTATCTGTTTCTTCTATTATGTGGTAAACAACTTCCAACTTTGTTTTTGGTTGACAACAGTTACTAATTAATTATTTTTTATAGGAACTGAACTCCACTAAAGCTCTTTTAAACTACTAGATGCAGGCAAATGTAAAGCATGCAGCCCTCTGGACAGTTTGCCTAATAAGCAGCAGGCCAGCTACCCACTCAAAACACTAATAACCCCAAACCCACCCAGGCCAAAGGCCCTGAGAGACTGACCTACCAACAGGCAAGTTCTTGACACTGAGTAGGCAATTAAGGGGGACAAAATCCTTAGACCAATCTTTACAATAAAGTCTCTTAAGCCCTTAACAAAGGCTGGGTGCCATTCATATGGAAATGAGCTACCAGCATCCAGGCCTTTGATATTTCTGGCTGCTGATCAGTCCTTTTCAACAGTTTAAATGCCTTTGCAATTAACCTTTATTCTTTAGTGACAGAATTTGTTCAGGTATTAAAATGGAAAAGAATCCCCATGCTGCCACCAAGTGATCTGGAATGGTTAAACCACTACCTACAAGGCAAGAACCAGGCCATGAGGTTCAAAACCAGAGCTGTTCACTGAGTGTTCGCAACTGCAAAAAGAAGGATATTTTATTCTGAGGTCGGGCTGGATAAAGTGCTCAATAATGTCAGTTTGGAAAGGCAGGTGATTTAAACCTGTATTTGTTGGTATTCAAGTGTAATCACTGTTCTACCAACTATTACTACCTGCTTCCGTAGTTCCTCTTGAAAACAGAAGATTCTTCTTTTAAAACTTTTATTTTAATTATTTTACACTTTATTCACTTTGTATCCCAATTGTAGCCCCCTCCCTCATCTCTTCCTGGTCCCATCTTTCCTCCCTCTTTTCCCCTCTCCTTCCCCTAGTCCACTGAAAAGGGGGAGTCCTCCTCCCCTACTATCTGATCCTAGCTTATCAAGTCTCATCAGGACTACCTGGATCCTCTTCCTCTGTGGCCTGTTAAGGCCACTCTGCAAGGGGGAGTGATCAAAGAGCAAGTAACCTAGTTCATATCAGAGATAGCCCCTGCTCCCCTTACTCGGGAACCCACATGGAGACTGAGCTGCCTATTGCTTACATCTGAGCAGGGGGTCTAGGTCCTTTCCATGCATGGTCCTTGGTTGATGCTTCAGTCTCTGCAAGGCCCCCTGGGCACATATTTTTGGCTTTGTTGGTCTCCTTGTGGGGCTCTTGTACCCTCCATGTCCTTCCATCCCCCTTCCCTTTTCCATAAGACTCCCTGTGCTCCACCTGAAGTTTGGCTGTCAATCTCTACATGTGCTTTGATACCCTGATGGGTGGAGTCTTTCAGAGGACATAATGTAGTAGGCTCCCATCATGTTCCCTTTCTTTTACTCCTTCCAGTGTCTATCTCATTTGCCCTTTGGAATAAGAATTAAGCATCCTCCCTAGGGTCCTCCTTCTTGTTTAGCTTCTTTAGGTCTGTAGATTTTAGTAACTTCATCCTATATTATATGGCTAATATCCACTTATAAGTGAGTATATCAATGCATGTCTTTCTGCTTCTGGGTTACCTCACTCAGGATAATCTTTTCTAGTTCCATCCATTCACCTACACAAAAGTAAAGTAAGTCCAAGTGGATCAAAAACCTCAATATAAAACCAGACACACTAAATCTGTTAGAAGAAAAAGTGGGGAACTCATTGGTACAGGAGACAACTTCCTGAACAGAACATCAACTGCTTAGGCTCTAAGATCAACAGTAAATGGTACCTCATGAAACTGAAAAGCTTCAGAAAGGACACTGTCAACAGAACAAAACGACAGCCAAAAGACTGGGAACAGATCTTCAGCAACCTTGCATCCAGCAAAGGGCTAATATCTAGAATATATAAAGATCTCAAGAAATAGAAATAAATACTAACATACCAAATAATCCAATTAAAAATGGGGTACAGAGATAAACGGAGAATTCTTAGCAGATGAATAACAAATGGTAGAGAAACACTTAAAGAAATGCTCAACATCCTTGGTCATTGAAATGCAAATCAAAGTGACTCTGAGATTCCATTTGACACCCATCAGAATGGTTTAAGATCACAAACTCAAGTGACAATGCTGGAATGGATGTGGAGAAAGGGAACCCTTCTTCATTGCTGGTGGGAGTGCAAATATGTACCAACCACTTTGGAAATCAATCTGTTGCTTTCTCAGAAAACTGGGAATAGTGCTACCTCAAGACCCAGCTGGACATACACCTGAAAGATGTTCCACCATACAACAAGGACACTTGCTCAACTATATTCATAGCAGTTTTATTCATAATAGCCAGAATTTAGAAACAACCTTGATGTCCCTTAACCAAAAAATGGATAAAGAAATTCAGATACATTTACACAATGGAATACTACTCAGCCATTAAAAACAAGAAAATCATAAAATTTGCAAGCAAATGAAAAACAGAAGCTTAAGCTTCTATGGGAGGATTTTAAGCTGTGCTAATGTCTACTGCTCTTAAGGAGCTTCCTGCTATCCCATTTAGGATATTTGCTTTTCATGACCTTCTAGTACCTGGGGAGATTTCTTTGCAGCTGTCATCTGTCCTCTTACTATGCACTTTGTTTGTGGCACAAGGAATGGACCCTAGGGTATCATCTATCATTGAGATACAGGTAGGCCCTATAAAATTTTCCATGTGCAACCATTTTTAATGCAGACATTTTTTAAATTTTCATTTAATTTAAAAACAGGAGCTCCACAAGGAGACCAACAGAGCCAAAAAAAAAAATCTAGGCCCAGGGGACCCTGCAGGGACTGATGAGTCAACAAAGGGCCATGCATGGAGAGGACCTAGACCCTTTGCTCAGATAGGCAGCTCATGGGCAACCCATGGGCAGTTCAGTCTCCATGGAGGTTTCCTAGTAAGGGGAGTAGGGGCAGTCACTGGCATGAATTTGGTTGCCTACTCTTTGTTCAACAACCCCTGGCTTGGCGGGCTTATTAGACCACAGAGAAAGAGGAACCAGACAGTCCTGATGATACCTGATAGGCTAGGGTCAGATAGTAGGGGAGGAGGAGACCACCCCATCAGTGGACTAGGGGCAGGGCATAGGGGGAAGAACAGTGTAAATGGGACCAGGAGGAGATGAGGAAGAGGGCCACAGCCTGGATACAAAGTGACTAAATAGTAAATAATAATAATAATAATAATAATAATAATAATAATAATAACAATAATAATAAATAGTAATAATAATAAAATAAATATCAAAATAAATATTCAGTGTATTTTGATTATTTATACCCCACTAACACGCGCAACATCTCCATACCCACACAACTTCATGTCCTCTTTTTAGTTTTTAAATTTAATTACCCATTTGACTCCAATTTGTGTTGTTCATACACTTTTGGGTGTGGGACCCTCTACTGGAGTTCTACAAGGAACCACAACCTTAAAGAAAACTAAATCTCCCTCCCTTGGAAGCCATCAAATCTCCATAGCAAAAAGGTGGTGCTAGGGGTCATTAATGAACCCCTTGTCCCTCCATGCTAGAATGTGGGCTGGTTTGATCTTCTGCAGGTAACCACAGTGGCTAAGTTCATGAGTGCAGCAGCTCTGACAGGTTTCATCACTCTCTTGCTATGTTCTTTCTCAATTTCTGGATCTTATAATCTTTCTCCTTTGGTCCCTGAATCTTGAATAAGAGGTAACACTCCATGGACACATATTCTCTGCATTTTGACCAATTGTGGGTTTCTGTATTAACCACCTCCTAGCAGCTAAAAAGAATGAGGAGAGCTGATCACCATGCCCTAGGTCTATAGTCCTAAGTACTTGAGAGGTTGGGGTAAGAGAATCATTTGAACCCTAGAGTTTGGTGCCAGCCTGCAAAAAGTAACAAGAAAAATACACACACGCACACACATACACACACACATGCAGTGTATACAGAAGTAATGAATGATGCTCAAAATGATAAATGAAAAAAGTGGTTTGAAGAGCAATGACACATTGAGAGGTACAATTTCTGTGTAAAAGAAAAAATACAGAGATTCCTTAAGATGCATATATTTTGGGTCTAGCTAATTTCACTGCATGATATTTTGATTTATTTGCAAGTTTTTTAAATAAATTTAATTTTTAAAAAAATAGAGGTATAAGTCACAGCTCAAACTGTAGATTAATGAGATGAATGACATGGTAAATGATAAATTATGTAGGAGTGTGCAGTATTATTTCTAACCCATAAGGACTAGAACCAATAATGGGTACAACTTCAGCATCAGAATTAATACTTAGCTAAACTGACATAGCATCACACTGCCTTTTAATATTTGTTTTTATAGCCATAGACAAATACTACTTTCAACCTTAGTCAGATAAGTCTCTCTCTTCTTCTAGAAAATGGGTTTGAGTGCAGAAACCGATGACCTCAAGAAGTGATCTGAATTAGTGAACCATAAACAAAATATTAATACCATCATCATCATCTAAGCTCACAAACTATTGTAGACGGAGGAGTGGAAAAAAAAAAAAAGGTA